TTATCAACAGTTCTTTATCCTGATAATTACCCTTATATGGACCATTTGGGTTGGTCCTGTATTCGCGTGACAGAGATTGGGGTACTGTGTTATTGAGTATTAGTTAAAGATGTGTTACATTTGTTTATTTTGTGGAATGTTAGTTTAATGATGCAAAGATGTGTTGCATTCTTTTATGTTGCATTTGTTTAACTCTGTAAAGCTGTGATACTTTGCCTGCCTAAAACACCAGATTGGTCTACTAGAGAGCTGAATGGCCAATAGCAAGGCAGGATAAAGGGTAGGAGGGGCTGCCAGGCAGAGAGAATAAATCGGAGGAGAAGAAAGGAAGGCTGAGGAAAGGAGGACAGTAGGAAGCCAAGGACCAGCCACCCAGCCACACAATCAGCTGCAGAGTGAAAAGGGAAGAAAGACATAGAGAACAGAGAAAAGTCAAAGCCCGGAGGCAAAAGATAGGCAGGATAATTTTAGAAAAGCTGGCTAGAAATAAGCCAAGCTAAGGCGGGGCATTCATCAGAAAGAGTAAGTCTCTGTGTATTTACTTGGGAGCTAGGTGGTGGGCCGCCAAAGAGCAAAGAGTAAAAACAAACAAGCAAAACAAACAACAACAACAAAAACCCAACTACGGCACTGTTTAGAAGTCACTAGAAGCCCAGGTTCTAGGGAAAGAGTCCTAGGTTTATCTTCCACCCGTTGTTCTTCCTCTTTACTGTTTTAATCAAATTGTGTCCATAAGCTGCCTTCCCGAAGGATAATTTACCTTAAGCTCAACCTGGCATGGTGTTTTAGGTCATGGCTCCTTGGCTTTCACTGCACCAGTAGGTTAAAGAGACTCCCACTCTGAGACATGAGATGGAAGCCTCATATTCAACATGGCCAGTCTCATTCATGAGTAAAGCAGTGACAAAATACTGAATTCCTCTGTTCCCTCCAGTGGCTTCTCCTCTGGGGAGCGCTTCTGCTCCCCAAGAGGAGGCATTGTAACTGTTCTGCCAGGAGTGAAGACAGTCTAAAGAGAAGCATTTGGTGCCTCTTGGTGTCACATTAAGACTGTATCCAGAGACTGGGTGGGGGTTCTTTACGACACTAGAAACTTGAGGAGTAATAGTTTGCTTGTACCCTGAGAGCCTCTCTGGTGAGATAATTTTGTGATGTCCATGGCCAGCTTTCCAGTAAGGTTGCACTGAGCACAGAGAGAGCCTTGTTAGAAGAACTCCCAGATGGCCCATGTTTCGGTTAATGGCTAGATATTTCAGCCAGGTCTTCATTCAGCTCCTGTGTGCTGACATTCTACATCTCTTACTCAAACCTTAAGTGTGGTTAGGGACTTTAGGGAAGTATCCAAGTCACTGCCTCCATCTTCTTCTGCCTGGAAGTATGTACCTGGCTTAGGTACTGTGGTGAGGAACTTCCCTGACACTCATTTCATTAAGCAGATTTCTGATCAACTTCCTACATTTTCAACAGTGTCATGATACTGGTATGTTCTTCTCCAAACTGGGTATTTTAGGACAGTTAATCTATTTGTTACAATAATTGTCATCTTTATGAGTCATGAGTTTTTCTAATTTCATAGACTTCCAATTTCATTGAGCATCTATCTGATATTATGATGTTTTTCTGGTATGATGGGAAAACTCTCCCCGAAACTAAAATGAATCTAGGATCTGGATGCTTCTGAGTGTGAGTGTAGGACCTAGTGGAAATAAAAAGGACAAGGAATCCCTTGGGAAGTAAATCAGAGGAAAATGACAGGAACATTCTATGAGCTCAATGTAGTAACCATTTCATAAAAATCAAAGACAGCAAGGGATTTTAAAATGCCCTGTTTTCATTCATTCACATTGTTCTCAGGTTCAGCACTGATGCACCCCTACATTATGGGGCAGGGAGAGCAGTTTGAAATTATTGGGGTTTTAAGGTAGCACTGCTTTGAAAATATTAACTGGGAAAGGCACTCATTTCATTGTATTGGTGTCAAATCTAACTTAGATGCATGCCATTTGCCAAGCAGAGTGAAGGGACAGCCTGAGAGGACAGCTGCCACCTAGCCTGAAGCAGTGGTTATCAAAGATGGCATTTGTGTAGTTGCCTTGACAGAGCTTATTGGGAGCTGAGCACCCAGAAAGAGATATCAGGGAACCTGGGCAGGAAAAGAAACAGCCAAAGATTTCTCATTGCAGTTGAGAATACCAGCCAATTAGCACATGGAACTCTGATAAAAAATATGCAGAGGTTGGATTTTATACAGGATGAAGTTTCTCTAGTAATTGATATGTGAGTCTTGAAAATTCTGATTACTTACTTGTGTTTTTTTACTTTTATTTCACGCTGTCTGGATCTAGAAACAAGCCTATTCTGTATTTATTTTTATTAGGGATGTGTGCATGAGTGTGTGTGTGTGTGTGTGTGTGTGTGTGTGTGTGTGTGTGTGTGTGTCTGTCCAGAGGTTGTCTTCCTTCATGACTCTCCACCTCATGTTTTGAAGCAGAGTCTTTCATTGAGCCTGAGGCTCACTGATTGGCTAGTGTAAGTAGCCAGTGAGTCCCTGGGGTCCTCCTGTTCCCACCTCCCAGCGCTGGAACCACAGGCACACTCTGTGAGGTGTTAGGGATCAGCTCTCAGACTCTCATGGATGCTCAGTAAGCACGTTACCTGCTGAGCTATCTCTCAGCACCTATTACAGCTTTTAAAACTTGAAAAGTCCTATCTATCTCCCTATGATTCACCAACACTGATTCCCAAATGCTGTGCATTCATCAGGAACTAGAGAAACAGAAACGGTTATGATATCATATTGTAGTGGTTGGATCTCTAACCATGCAATAGCAGGATACGTATATGGAGCTCAGCCTCTCATTAATCTAGCTCTTCTCCCTGCAGCTCCCCTGCCCTTCCAGGATCAGTGGTGTCCCAGAAACTTGGCAGAAGCTGGAGAATAAAAGTTCATTCACAGATGTCTCCAGGACATCATGCAGCCCGGCGAGGACTGTCTATTCAATAGGTGCTGGATCTTTAAGTTTCCTCTTCCAGAGAGGCGACAAACCATTTCAGGTAGAGGATGTTTCCATGGACTCTGCGTGTAAGGAAGAGGCACCTTCACACAGGTGCTCAAACATCTGCGTCCTCACACCGCTCTTCCTCTTTCAGAATGGGGCCACCACGCCTTTGGCTTCATGTGTGCAGTATACGAGGACAGTCAGTACTCAACAGAAAGATCGATCACATTCCATCGTTTGTCTTCATGTTCCCTTTGCCTCATGTCTCTTACCATCCCCATGCATCTTCAATATGTATGATTTCTATTTTTACCTCTTCCCATTTCATTAACTTTCCCCCCAACGTTACCCTATGCTTATGCTGCAAATAAGTCCCCCTTAATCACAGTCTCATTAAAATTCTCTTACCAAATCACAGCCAATATTAGAGGAAGCTCTTCACTCTTGTCATTTTCTGTTGTATCTGATCCTTTCACTATTTCGTATTCTTACACATACCCTATTGGGCTGCTATGCCACACGGTCTCCTGGCTTTGTTCCTTGCATGTTATGCCCTCTCTATCTCATCTACTCTCTCTTCCACATTTCTCCCTATTCCATTTTCAAAATTTCTGTTCTCCAGAATAGAAACTTGGTCCTTAGCTACCTCCAGGCCACCAGAGGACAAAAAGGCAAATGAACCTTCCAACATGCTTTTCTCCACCTCTCGTCCAGATATTTCCTCTGCGCTCTATAACCCATGTTTTCAAACTTGTATTCGTGGTAAAATGTAAGAACACAGTGAAAGACCCTAGCAACCCTGGAAGGAGCACGCCATTTCAGAAGATGACGGCAACCCTGGAAGGAGCACGCCATTTCAGAAGATGACACAACCCTGGAAGGAACACG